ATAAATTCAACAAAGACTCATTAAATATTCATACAGCTCCAAAAATCTGGATGAGAGTACTTAAGAATAATAATTTACTGTATCTCCTTGAATGGTTGACCAGATAAATGTTAAAAGGGTCTACTCTACTGACAGATCTGCACTGCTATACTAAATTTTGAAATCAAGGTTAGGTCAATCTAGTTTTTATCTCAAGCATGTTTACATTATGTTAGGATCCAAGACTATCTGGGAAGACAACATACTAATGACATGAGGTATATGCGATGTATTGACAGACTCTGGGCTTTTTAAATGTAATTCTGGATTACTGTGATATTGAATAATATATTATCTGTTTATAAGCTGCCCAGAGTGGCCTTATCGGTGAATTGGGTGGCATATAAATTTAATAAATAAATAAATGATCATCAATACAGTAATATTTTTTAAATTAATAATTCTGTGCATTTTTACTAAAAACATATAAGTGAAAAAATTAAGTTGTCTTACATGCAGGTCTTGAACATGCAGTCTAGAAAAGTGTGGATAGAAAAAGGGAGAATGAAAAACCATATTGCTATAAAATATCTGAAAAAGAGAAAATGTAAAGACCTTAAGGGTAAAGAAAGGCAGGGATCTTCCATAAGAATTATCTTTTATTCATCTGGTTGTATAGCTAGAACATGAAATGTTAGGCTCTCTGAAATGTGGATAATCACACACAGTGCCATTACAGTGGAAAAGCACTTTACTTTTAAGTAAAGTCTGACACATCTCCACTAAAATCATGGCTCCACCCCATCCCAAAATAAGACAGTGATACTCAGAAAGCTAGCAAAATTATAGAGTGAATTAGCAAATGTATTTGGAAAGTCATAGCATGGAAGAAAAAGTACAAAATCCCCTTCTACATCACTGTGGCCCACACCTGACCGATCCCCCATCTGCTATTTGAGAAAGGATAATGTTTCCATATAATTCCAGAATTAATTGCATCCATAAAATGCACTTATCAATGGTTTGGCTAAGTGGACCTTATTCAATAGCTTCAATTTTCTGCGATTACCGTACACACTGATCCATAAACTGACTGTGTTTTACAGAATACTAATTTAAAACAGGAATGGTTAGTTTAAGGTGATTTAAGGAGTCTGTGTGTGTCAGTTGGGCTGCTATATAAATGTGTTCAATAAATAAATAAAATATTTATTATAAAATAACATTGGAGGATTTTAAGAAGAGATTGGACAACCATTTGTCTGAAATGTTGTAAGGTTTCCTGCTGGAGCAGGGGGTTGGACTTGAAGACCTCCAAGGTCCCTTCCAACTCTGTCACTCTGCTACATGGTTCAGTGTATCATGTGAACATAGGCCATGTCTTACTTAACCCATTTCAGATCTGAAGGAAAACCTAGACTCTAGAGCAGGGGTGTCAAACTGCTGGCCCATGGGCCGGACGCGTCACAAGGAAACTGCACCCACCCCATTGCCGGCAATGGGGAAAAAGTTCCGATACATTGTGAGTTTGACATGTATGCTCTAGGCAGGGTAGTCAACCTTGGCTCTTTTATGACTCGTGGACTTCAATTCCCAGAATTCCTGAGCCAGCTTAGCTGGCTCAAGAATTCTGGGAGTTGAAGTCCATGAGTCATAAAAGAGCCAAGGTTGACTACCCCTGCTCTAGAGGGGTTTTTTTAGATGATTTTTGTCAAAGAACTTAGGACAACTGCAGACATTTGTCCACTTTATACATTTGCTGTGCTATAGAAAATACCCGGTTAATAATGTTGTCTTCTACAATTCTTTTATACAGGATCTACCTGAGCTTGGCAGAGGATCCAAAATTACAAAAAAAAAAACAAAAAACAAACCCAAGTCAAAGGCTTAATTTCAGCATTTGCTAAAATAGGTGTATTGCTTTTATGGCAAAGCTGATATTGCACAATGCACAATGCTATTATAATGCCATGGTCAGATATGTCATTACAATATGTTTTAAATCAGATAAACTAGTTTTCATATTATATTTTTAAATTCTTAAATTCATGAATATCTTCTAGTGTTTTCAGTTCTATGAGCAAGGATGTTGGAGATGAAACAAATTCATGAATGAATAATGAAAGCTGACAGGATAATTGGCAATTTTTTTTACTAATTCCCTGTTTTTTTAAATCATGTAATATTTTGATTATTATACCCTATTTTTCTGTCGGTAATTAGTTTTTCAGGTCCATAAAAAAGTTAACTTTCTAAGAATTTATTTTCCTTTTCATTTCTGAATATCACATAAGCACTGAAAATCATTCTAAGTTTGATGCTCCGCTCATTCTTGGCTCCTGGAGAATGCTATGGATAATATGGAAAAGCTAATTGCCATATTTTATCAAATATATTTCTCTGTCCTAACAGCTTGCACTCAAACACAGTCTCACGAGCTGTGTTTATATTAAATGATGATAACATCATTCAGTAATGCAAAAGATCAGAAGCACCCTGCTCTTCCTGTTTCCTGTCTCCTTTTGTGTTAAGATCTGAACTTCTTTTCTTGCAGATTGAGAGCAAGAATCTCTTTTCACTCAGGAGTCATCCCCAATACAAGCTTAGGGGACAAACTTCAAAACAAACCTCATCCTTTCTATTTGGACAACCCATTTTGTTTAAAAAAAACAACCATAGGTAAGACTTTAAAAGTTGATATGATGGCATGCAGGAATGACCTTGGAAGAAGGGTAGGGGACTGGGGGGAAGAGATGCTGCCTAAAGAACAATCAGATTAAGGTGGGGAATGTCTGCAGCTGCTTAACAGGCAGAGAAAGAAACTCAGAAAGGATCCACCCTAACTTATCAGGCTGTAAAAAGAGAGGGTGGGAAGGTGGAAGATTTATACGTTCAGACTTACAAATTTCTGTTAATTTAGGCTTACAATAAAATAGAATTAGCTCCCCTGGTCATATTTCTGTTTGCTCAACCTGGGAAGCTGATAGTTAGCAAACTGAAATAGCTTTAATCAGTGCTATTTTTGTAAGAAAAAAGGTGCCGGAACTCACATCTTGTTAATCTTTTATTAATATATATATATAATTATAATAATAGTAAAGTTGGAAGGGACCTTGAAGGTCTTCTAGTCCAACCCCCTGCTCAGGCAGGAAACCCTATACCATTTCGGACAAATGGCTGTCCAGTTTCTTCTTAAAAACTTCCAGTGTTGGAGCATTCACCGCTTCTGGAGGCAGGTTGTTCCACTGGTTAATTGTTCTCACTGTCAGGAAGTTTCTCCTTAGTTCTAGGTTGTTTCTCTCCTTGATCAGTTTCCACCCGTTGCTTCTTGTCCTGCCTCCAGGCGCTTTGGAAAATAGCTTGACTCCCTCTTCTTTATGGCAACCCCTGGTTGCCATAAATATATACATATATACATATATACATAAATATATACATATATACATATTCAGTTCTTAACATAAATTTAATTTATTGTATTTAAGGCAAATGTTCATAGTAAATTTTGCACTAAAAATTAAAAAAAGATTTTCAATTCACCGATTTTTTAAAATAAAGAAATTACCCTTCACACGTAATCAATCACTGTACACACACCCACACATGTCAGTTGTGTAACAAAACATAATGGTTGCCGCCTGCAGTAAGCACTCAGCGCGCGACCACACAACCAATCACAAGCCGAGCAGTGCAGTGCACAAGCTGAGCAGCACCATCACAACCAGCGCAGATGAAGTATGCATGCATCGGACTCACATGCACCATTTTAATGATTTTGCCGCAGACCTGCTATGCGATTCAAGTCAACGTGGACCGAACATCAAATTTTCAAAAGTTACCTTTAAAACTTGGAGAATCTGTCGAAAAAAAGTGCCGGAACTCCGTTCCAGTGCGTTCTGTGACAAAAAAAGCACTGGCTTTAATATTCATTATCATAGAACAGGAATAGAGAGGAGAGGACGAAATTACATGAGCAGAATGAGAGGCAAGATTTCCCCATGAAAGGTCTCACTCCTTCAATGGATGTCAAACAATTTTGCCACTGAATTTATGGGACTAGATTTATAGAGAGATGCTCCCTGTAAATCCAGGTTGGTTTTTTAAAAAAACAACTCTGGCAGGTTAAAATTATTTTTAACTGCCTTTAAATTAATAACAAAAAAACAATTTAACAAAAGTGAAAGAAATACAAGGAGAAAAAAAAACTATGATAAATAATTACAATATTGCACATACTTACCTCATGCTATTATTTGAATACATATGTATTTCTATTACACTTATATAACTATCATATTTTGAACCCACTGTATTTTATATAAATGAGTCCCATATTTCAATATAGACAAAGTCTACATCTATAGGCAATCTGCTCAGAGGGAACAAGTGTAATCAGATCCTCAATCCATTCAGTAAATGGGGCCATACAACTTACCGTTCCGGGGCTGCAATATCAGCCTTTTGGCCATAGTTAAGGGTAAAGGGAATCCATTTATGCTGTATGGTTATGCCATAATCATAATCAAAGATATATTTGTTTTTGAATACACTTGCATTGGGTTGGGTTGCAAGACTAATAAAGAAATAGGGATTGTCCTCTAACCTTGTACATTCTATAGGAAATTCTGTATTGCTAGATCAGCAGTTTTTCAAGGTTGAGCAAGGACTCCAGAAATAAAATGGTCCACAGAGGAAGAAGAAATATAGAGTGATCATCTCCATTAAAAAAAAACAAGTTTTGATTTGATGAAGAAGGTATGAAATTCAGGCTTAAAATAGTTGGGAGATTTGCCAGTTGCCAGTATAATTTCTAGTTCAGAAGCCAGCAAGCCCAGTGATGTTCCAGTAAGAATGACCAGAAATATCTGCACCGCTGCGTGTTCTCCTTCTGGATATGTCTTTTGTAAGGATTCTTTTCTATTTCCCTCGCAGGTACTTAGCAGATGTTTTCCCTTGAATAGAAAATGCATCCTATGAATAAGACTTTCTGACTGGCCTATGTGCTTTTGACTGCAGAAGGGATGGTCAAGTTCACTTTCGGCATGTGCTATTGCTTCATCACCAAGCTAGCTCTGGTGGCTTGGTATGTTCTGCTAACAATTGAGAACACCTGTTCCTGGAGGGAATGGGTCCCCCGCCTTCGCCTCTCATACCAAGGTAGGACTATTCGTGTTACTCTTTCAGTGTGTTGTAAGGTTTGTGGTCTAATTACATTGCAGAACACAATGAATTTAAAGCAGATTGCTTCCCTCCCTCCTTGGTCTCACCCCTTGTATATTGTTCCTTCTCTCTTTCTGCCATTTGCTAATTCCAATCTTCATTCTGTGACCTCCGCTGAAACTGAAACTTTCAGGAATTTGAAGATCTGTGTTCATTCAAGTCACAGAAAGGGAATTCTCTTCTTTCTTACATTCTAATTTCAGTTGGCTAGCATGTGGGCCATTCTAGGTAAGTACAACATAAATGTCACAATTATCAATTTTGTCCAGATACTTTCCAAATAACTGGACTGTGACTAATTCCCACTCTTTCATAGTACTGTTATGTTCCTTGAGAGGAAATCTTAAGTTCTTCCTGAAAGAAATACTAGTGTAACAGTTACAGGTAAACCTCATTTAGTGACTGCCTCATTTAGTGAACATTTGCAGTTATGATAAAAAATAACTTTATAATCATTCCTCAATTCACAGCCTTCATAAAGCAAATGGAAGCTAAAGTAAAATCATAAGGAGAGTTGTGGTTTCACTTAGCAACTGAGTTGTCAGTTCTAATTGTGGTTGTTAAATGAGAAATACCTGTATTTATATATGCAGCTCTTTTTCTGACATACAGATGCACATGCAAGCCAGTTCTTATCTTAACATAAATCTGTCATGGTACAACTGATTGATAAAAGGTCAGGCTTGATTTTAAAACTGAGAAATTCAAGATAATGGTGGTTGACATTTCTGTGATACTCCTGAATGGCAGTCCTCTCTATAATTCTAGGGACTCTGTAGTAATTGATATGGAACTCAGCATCTGGAAGCAAACAATAATTGGAGAGCTGAAAGCATCTTGAGGATTGAACCATGTTTTAGACTGGGGAGGAAGAAGACAACCTGGAACTCAATAAAGACAAACCTAGAACACCAACCTGGAACTCAGCTAGATATTCCAGTTATTGTTGCAGGCAATTGAGCTTAACGTTTGCAAAATATTTGCTTTAAGATATATTGCTAAGAGTGATTTTGGCTCCCCACAAAAGAAACCAATAGATCTGGGTTTCCTTGAAAAGCATGAAGCTGAAGAGCTACCTTGGAATACCCCTCCCCCCAGTTCATGGTGCCCTAAGGTCTAGCAGATCATGCTAAAGATGCCGTCTTTTGGTCTTTACTGAAGGAAGTTCCCAGCCTTAGGAGCATCATGGGGGCAGCCCAGACAATGGCAGGAGGTGTGACTCAGAGATATCAAGCCAAGTTCAAGGGTGAAAAGGATGACAGGGTTTACATTATGAAAGCTTCTAGAGACGCCCTCTGCCCTGGAGTAGAATAGGAAGGGGAGAGAGAAAGAAACAGATGGGCCTGCCAAGAGGAAATGAGACAACCCAAGGCAGGGGCTGCAAAGGAAAGATGTGCTTCAGAGAAGGAGGCCAAGAACAATAGCACACCAGGGCAGTGAAAACAAATCCTTCCCAAGTGACGGTCAGGGAGACCACCAAAGCTGTAGCATGCACATTCAGAGAGTCTCATCTAGCGGCAGGCTGACCGAGCAGAGGACGCTCTTTCTTTCTCCTAAACAGCAGAGATGGGCTAGGAAAGCACATACTGCCAGACTGAGAAATGTTTCCCCATTTGGTTTCTTGTCTCATGGTCCAACTCTGTGGCCTTGGAAAGGATTTGACACAGTTCAAAAGTTTGCTTCCAGAACTTTGGATCCAAATTGGTACAAAATAGTAAGGGGTGCCTAGCAGTAGCCCTCTCCAAGGCATTTGTGTAAGAGCCGTAGTGACGCAGTGGTTAGAATGCAGCTAATTTTACCAACTGCCATCAGTTCAAGCCTGACCGGCTCAAGATTGACTCAGCCTTCCATCCTTCCAAGGTTGGTAAAATGAGGACCGAGATTGTTGGAGTCAATATGCTGATTCTGTAAACCGCTTACAGAGGGCTGTAAAGCACAGTGAAGCAGTATATAAGTCTAAGTGCTATTGTTATCCCCTATTTCCCCCCCCCCCCCCCCCCCCCCCCCCCCNTTTCCCCCCCCCCCCCCCGGCCAGGTGCTTCCTTAAGTAGAGCATCAAATCTGGGCTGCAAAGATTCAGACAAGCCAGTAAATAGGGTAAATTAGGATGATTTAGGATAAGTAAACTCATTCTCAAGAGACATCCACTTCTAGTAGCAATTCCCTATGGAGTTTGCAACATTACTCTCTAATGGCTCATGGCTCCTATATATTATTCTTATGCTGTCCAGTACAGCTCACAAAGATGCAGTTCTTAAAATCAGCCTTCCTGCAGTTACTGCTCTGGTGAAACAAGACCAGTCTCTGACTTTCCGAGCTACTAAAGGGATTAAAAACGTCAGGAATCTGTCATACTCAATGCTAGTGTATTTACAGAACTTTCTATTGTTGCTTTTCAACAATGGCATGCAATCGAGCCTCCATCTCTATTTTTAAATATTGTCTTTAGGCCCCTGGTAGGCTCCATGCTCATTTTAGAAATAAAAATAAACAGATGCAGCTAAGAGCTTTTTTTTTGAAAGGATGCCAAGTTGCTCCTTTCTCCGAAAATATGATGGCAAGGAATGTCCTACAGAAACAGGCTAGAGAGGAAGACAGGTAGCAAGGCATGGATTGGTTTCCTCTTTGACCCCTGAATTGCTATGTCCCCTGACCAAGTAGAACATTTCCAGTGACCTTGATTGGTATTGAATTCTTGATAGAAAGTTTGGGAACCAGGGGTGAGGAGTGGGAAGGGAAACAGGCCATTCAGAAGTCATCATCTTAGTGCATATCTGAAACCTAATTACAGTTTTGACTTTATTTAGCCTATAATATGGCTGTGAATGTCACCAGGCCATTAAGAAACAAGCTTTCTCTCTGTGGAAAGGAAGGTCCGGGATGAAACGCCCTGGTAGAACTGTATAGTGTGCATTTCACAAATACCGAGTTCTGCTTAATCAGTTTGGTCAAGATTGAAAAGAGCAAAAAAAAAGCTGAACTGATAATATCTTAAGATATGAACCTTGAAAAATTCTAATGAAAAGCACCTCCTTCAGACTTTGTGAAGACAACATCTCATATTAGGATTGCCAAAGCATACCAAGGGGAACACGTTGGATTGGAGCCCCTCTTCAGAGCTGAGATTTCTGTGTCTTCTCAAAAGGTCAACTTGGAAACCATTTGCTAATGCCAGGAATTACGCAAGAGTTCCTTGGACTTGGGGGTGACCGGCTTCTATGTGGAAGGAAGTCCATTTTACTGCCTTCGAGAATATATAGGATTGCAGCCTGAATGAGACTTGCAATTCTATGAGAATATATCGAACAAATTGCTATATACTTACAACCAAAAGGTTTGCTTTCCTTTGCGTAAGCAGTCTGCTGGCTTAAAAAAAAATCAAAGCAGACTCATTGATCCATGTTTTGATATTTTTAAAATTAATCTCTCTGGCCAATTTTCAAAGATAAAGAAAAGTTAGATAAATGCCAAATCCCTTTGGGGGGACTACAAAGATAAAATCATTGTTTCTTTGTCTATACTCTACTTTCTAGACCTGCTGAGATCAAACAGCTCCCGCCTGCCGTTGAACTCAGAGACTGACCTTGCATTCCAGTCACTCCTTCTGGATGAGAAGAGGGCTTGGCTGATGGTGGGAGCAAAGGACCGTATAATTCTTCTGCACCTTGATGGTTCTAACAGGGAGCCTCAGGAGGTAAAAACAACAACAACAACAAAAACAACAACAGGGAAGTTTGCTGTTTGGCCATGATGTTGCTTTGCTTTGCTTCTTAAATACTAAATGACAGCCAGTGCAATAATTTAGGTTAAACGCTGTGAGATGGATAAGTCCTTCCATACATGAAGTAGAACCAAGGTTCTCACAAACATCTCTGTTCTCAGTCACTTATGAAGTGGTGAATAGAAGAAGTAGGAATTACTTCAGGTTATATTCTGCATCATTTTTTCCAATTTAACTTGTGTTCCTAAGAATTATAAAAAAGGAAAAGAGAGAATAGTTAAGGAGGAAGTAGAGTCTGCACTTTGATTTTATTTCCAGTAGAGGTTTTTAGCATTCCAAAGGCTTGGCAGGCTTAGTTTTTTTCCTAACAGGAAGATGCAACAAAGATTTTTTTTTTTTAAATGGCTTTCTGAATTTCTGTGGTCCTCACTAAATGTCCATTCATTCAGCAACCATTCAAAGTTACAATAGTGCCGAATAAAAGGACTTAAGACTGATCCTCAAAATTCTAGTGGTTGCAATGCCCTTGTGTTCATGTGAACAAAATTTGGGCCTCCTTACATTTATAACTGCCCCTCCTCCCCACTGACTTTCATTATCATGTTCACCTGCCTCACCTCTGGCTCACCATCCTGGCCACTCAGGGGGAAAATGCTGTGAAAATGTCCACAGGCTGGTGGGTGAGAACTACAGGTGGGTGGGTGGGTGCCACCACTACTGAAGAAGACCTTCTTTTGTGTACCGGCTGGATCCTTTTTTTTAACATGCCTGCCAGGATGTCTTTTTGTGTGCCTGCCAGTGCCTCCTTTTGCATGCTGGCTGGGTCTTTTTGCATGGCAACTGGGGCCTTCTTTTGCATACCAGTCATGGCCTTGGGCCCAGTCAGCACTCAAAAGGCCAGTGCAAAAGAAGGACCTGGTTAGCACATGAAAAAAGACTGGCCCGAAAGAAGGCCTCAGCTGCACCAGCACGAAAGAAGGCCCAGGTCTGTTGTGATATGTGGTGGTATGGAAGATATGGTAGTGGGCAAGGCTGGACAATGGGGTAGCTGGTGGCAGTAGATAGGTGGGCAATCGAAAGGGCAGAGAAGGAAGGGGGAGAAAAGTGTATTGGGGGAATTAAGTGGAGGCAATCCATTACCTTCTTCTAAGAATGGCTTGGAATCACCCAACTATGATGTGGGATTTCCCCAGCAACAGCAATTGGGAGTGCAAGAACTGCCATTGCTAAATGGAGAAGTCACGTGACATTTCACTTAAAGAGAACATCACTTAACAATAGAGTTGCCAGTCCCAATTAGAGCTGTTAAGTGAGGATTATCCTTTATTTACATGAGAGGGAAAATGAAAATAGGGGGGGACCTTTTGTTTAAACAAAAACAAATGGGTTTATTATGTAGAACCTTATGCAGAACCTTCCTTATCTGTCCTGTAGCTCCATTATACCTAGTGAATATGAATAAATATTGGCTGTT